GATGTTATTCTACTGAACATGGAGAACACCAGATGTTATTCTGCTGAACATGGAGAACACCAGATGTTATTCTACTGAACATGGAGAACACCAGATGTTATTCTGCTGAACATGGAGAACACTAGATGTTGTTCTGCTGAACATGGAGAACACCAGATGTTATTCTACTGAACATGGAGAACACCAGATGTTGTTCTGCTGAACATGGAGAACACCAGATGTTATTCTGCTGAACATGGAGAACACCAGAATGTTATTCTGCTGACATGGAGAATACCAGATGTTATTCTGCTGAACATGGAGAACACCAGATGTTATTCTACTGAACATGGAGAACACCAGATGTTATTCTGCTGAACATGGAGAACACCAGATGTTATTCTACTGAACATGGAGAACACCAGATGTTATTCTACTGAACATGGAGAACACTAGATGTTGTTCTGCTGAACATGGAGAACACCAGATGTTATTCTGCTGAACATGGAGAACACTAGATGTTGTTCTGCTGAACATGGAGAACACCAGATGTTATTCTGCTGAACATGGAGAACACTAGATGTTATTCTGCTGATCATGGAGAACACCAGGTGTTATTCTGCTGAACATGGAGAACACTAGATGTTATTCTGCTGAACATGGAGAACACCAGATGCTATTCTGTTGAACATGGAGAACACGAGATGTTATTCTGTTGAACATGGAAAACACCAGATGTTGTTCTGCTGAACATGGAGAACACCAGATGTTATTCTGGTGAACATGGAGAACACCAGATGTTATTCTGCTGAGCATGGAGAACACCAGATGTTATTCTGTTGAACATGGAGAACACCAGATGTTGTTCTGCTCAACATGGAGAACACCAGATGTTATTCTGCTGAATATGGAGAACACAAGATGTTATTCTGCTGAACATGGAGAACACCAGATGTTATTCTGATGAACATGGAGAACACAAGATGTTATTCTGCTGAACATGGAGAACACTAGATGTTATTCTGCTGAACATGGAGAACACTAGTGGTTATTCTGATGAACATGGAAAACACCAGATGTTGTTCTGCTCAACATGGAGAACACCAGATGTTATTCTGCTGAACATGGAGAACACTAGATGTTATTCTGCTGAATATGGAGAACACCAGATGTTGTTCTGCTAAACATGGAGAACACCAGATGATATTCTACTGAACATGGAGAACACCAGATGTTATTCTGCTGAGCATGGAGAACACCAGATGATATTCTGCTGAACATGGAGAACACCAGATGTTATTCTGCTGAGCATGGAGAACACCAGATGATATTCTGCTGAACATGGAGAACACCAGATGTTATTCTGCTGAACATGGAGAACACCAGATGTTATTCTGCTGAGCATGGAGAACACCAGATGTTATTCTGTTGAACATGGAGAACACCAGATGTTATTCTGTTGAACATGGAGAACACCAGATGTTGTTCTGCTCAACATGGAGAACACCAGATGTTATTCTGCTGAACATGGAGAACATTAGTGGTTATTCTGATGAACATGGAGAACACCAGATGTTGTTCTGCTCAACATGGAGAACACCAGATGTTATTCTGCTGATCATGGAGAACACCAGATGTTATTCTGCTGAACATGGAGAACACCAGATGTTGTTCTGCTCAACATGGAGAACACCAGGTGTTGTTCTGCTGAGCATGGAGAACACCAGATGTTATTCTGCTGAACATGGAGAACACCAGATGTTATTCTGCTGAGCATGGAGAACACCAGATGTTATTCTGTTGAACATGGAGAACACCAGATATTGTTCTGCTCAACATGGAGAACACCAGATGTTATTCTGCTGAACATGGAGAACACCAGATGTTATTCTGCTGAACATGGAGAACACCAGATGTTATTCCGCTGAACGTGGAAAACACTAGATGTTATTCTGCTGAACATGGAGAACACCAGATGTTATTCTGCTGAACATGGAGAACACCAGATGTTATTCTGCTAAACATGGAGAACATTAGATGTTATTCTGCTGAACATGGAGAACACCAGATATTATTCTGCTGAACATGGAGAACACTAGATGTTATTCTGCTGAACATGGAGAACACCAGATGTTATTCTGCTGAACATGGAGAACACCAGATGTTGTTCTGCTGAGCATGGAGAACACCAGATGTTATTCAGCTGAACATGGAGAACACTAGATCTTGGTCTGCTGAACATGGAGAACACTAGATGTTGTTCTGCTGAACATGGAGAACACTAGATGTTATTCTGCTGAACATGGAGAACACCAGATGTTATTCTGCTGAACATGGAGAACACTAGATGTTGTTCTGCTGAACATGGAGAACACTAGATGTTGTTCTGCTGAACATGGAGAACACTAGATGTTATTCTGCTGAACATGGAGATCACCAGATATTATTCTGCTGAACATGGAGAACACCAGATGTTATTCTGTTGAACATGGAGAACACCAGATGTTATTCTGCTGAACACGGAGAACACCAGAGGTTATTCTGCTGAACAGGGAGAACACTAGATATTATTCTGCTGAACATGGAGAACACCAGATGTTATTCTGCTGAACATGGAGAACACCAGATGTTATTCTGCTGAACACGGAGAACAACAGAGGTTATTCTGTTGAACACGGAGAACACTAGATATTATTCTGCTGAACATGGAGAACACTCGATGTTATTCCACTGAACACGGATAACACTCGATATTATTCTGTTGAACATAGAGAACACTAGATGTTATTCTGCTGAACATGGAGAACAGCAGATGTTATTCTGCTGAACATGGAGAACGCCAGATGTTATTCTGCTGAACACGTAGAACACTCGATGTTATTCTGCTAAACACGGAGAACATTCGATGTATGTTATTCTGCAAAACACGGAGAACACCAGATGTTATTCAGCTGTTCACGGAGAACATTCGATGTTATTTAGCTCAACACAGAGAATATTCGATGTTATTTAGCTGAACACAGAGAACATTCGATGTTATTCAGCTGAAAACGGGGGAACACTCGATGTTATTCTTCTGAACACGGAGAATACTTGAAGTTATTCTGCTGAACACGGGAACACTAGATGCTATGCAGCTAAAAACGAAGAACACTCAATGTTATTCAGCTGAACACGGAAAACACTCGATGTTATTTAGATGAACACGGAGAACATTCAATGTTATTTTGCTGAACACGGAGAATACTCGATATTTTCAGTTGAACACGGAGAACGCTCGATGTTATTCAGATGAACACGGAGAGCACTCGATGTTATGCAGCTGAACGCGGAGAACACTCAGGTGGACGAGGCTGAACACGGAGAAAACTCGTATGGGCGATACAGAACACTGAGAACAACCGGGTGAATATTGCTGAAAGCGAAAAACACTGGCATGAACATTGATGAACAGAAAAAACAAAGGCACTGTAGCTTGGGGTTAGTAAGTGAACAAAGCCGAGGCTTTCTCTGTGGAACAAAGACACTGGCATGAAAGTGAACAGAAGCAGCACTCTTGTTGAACATCATGAACAAAAAAAAACATTCGCAAATTTCAAGAGAAATAAAAATATTTGGTTAAACATAACTAATCGTAAACAGGAGCCCAGGAAAAGCGCTCGCTTAAACATTACCATATGTAAACAGGAGTCCAGGAAAAGCGCTCGCTTAAACATTACCATATGTAAACAGGAGTCCAGGAAAAGCGCTCGCTTAAACATTACCATATGTGAACAGGAGTCCAGGAAAAGCGCTCGCTTAAACATTGCCATATGTGAACAGGAGTCCAGGAAAAGCGCTCGCTTAAACATTACCATATGTGAACAGGAGTCCAGGAAAAGCGCTCGCTTAAACATTACCATATGTAAACAGGAATCCAGGAAAAGCGCTCGCTTAAACGTTACCATATGTAAACAGGAGTCCAGGAAAAGCGCTCGCTTAAACATTACCATATGTGAACAGGAGTCCAGGAAAAGCGCTCGCTTAAACATTACCATATGTAAACAGGAATCCAGGAAAAGCGCTCGCTTAAACATTACCATATGTGAACAGGAGTCCAGGAAAAGCGCTCGCTTAAACATTACCATATGTAAACAGGAATCCAGGAAAAGCGCTCGCTTAAACGTTACCATATGTAAACAGGAGTCCAGGAAAAGCGCTCGCTTAAACATTACCATATGTGAACAGGAGTCCAGGAAAAGCGCTCGCTTAAACATTGCCATATGTAAACAGGAGTCCAGGAAAAGAGCTCGCTTAAACATTACCGTATGTAAAAAGGAGTCCAGGAAAAACGCTAGAATAAACATTACCGTATGTAAACAGGAGTCCAGGAAAAGCGCTAGATTAAACATTACCGTATGTAAACAGGAGTCCAGGAAAAGCGCTAGATTAAACATTACAGTATGTAAACAGAAGTCCAGAAAAAGCTCTCGCTTAAACATTTATCATATGTAAACAAGAATCCAGGATAAAACACTCGCTTCAGCATCTCTAAATATAAAGGAGAAACCAGGGAAAACACTACCTTAAACATTACTAGTATAAACAAAGCTAGAACTTGCTAACAAAGCTAGTACTAACTAACACCATACACGTCCATCATCGTCCGTTCGTGTGTGCACTAGTGGTTATTGGATATATCAGGATTAGTGTTAACGAACGCCAGTGTCCTAGTGGCTCTCCTACTGTGTTTCGTTCATAGATATACCAGGAATAGTGCTCACGAACGCTCCTCTCCTAGTGTGTTTCGTTCATAGATATTCCAGGAATAGTGCTCACGAAGGCCCCTCTCCTAGTGTGTTTCGTTCATAGATATTCCAGGAATACTGCTCACGAACGCTCCTCTCCTAGTGTGTTTCGTTCATATATATTCCAGGAATAGTGTTCACGAAGGCCCTCTCCTTGTGTGTTTCGTTCATAGATATTCCAGGAATAGTGCTCACAAAGGCCCCTCTCTTGGTGACTTCGTAAATCCATCTTACCTTTATGTTTGGCGCTGGTAGTGGTGGTGGTACTGGTGGTGCTGGTGGTGGGCAGGTGGTCGTGCTCAAAGTCGTCACTCCCCTGGTCGTCTCCAGTCGTCACCTTGGTCATATGAGCTGAACAACCATTGTTCAACCTCGATAACGACCCACCCTGAAGAATCATAAACAAGAGGTCAGATGATTTATTATTATTATTATTATTATTATTATTATTATTATTATTATTAGTAGTAGTAGTAGTAGTAGTAGTAGTAGTAGTAGTAGTAGTAGTAGTATTTTAGAGCAGCAAAATTCACAGGTATAATATAGCTGTCGGGAAATGAGAAATAATCAGGTTTGATCTAAGGAAGGGGAGGATAATTCTATTTTTCTTGCACGCAAAGCCTATCATCCTGGTACCAAGGTACGTCAGCTGTACGGTCCTGTGCTATGGTCCTGTGCTACGGTCCTGTGCTACGGTCCTGTGCTACGGTCCTGTGCTACGGCCCTGTGCTACGGTCCTGTGCTACGGTCCTGTGCTGCGGTCCTGTGCTACGGTCCTGTGCTACGGTCCTGTGCTACGGTCCTGTGCTACGGCCCTGTGCTACGGTTCTGTTCTACGGTCCTTTGCTATGGTCCTGTGCTACGGCCCTGTGCTACGGTTCTGTTCTACGGTCCTTTGCTATGGTCCTGTGCTACGGTCCTGTGCTACGGCCCTGTGCTACGGTTCTGTTCTACGGTCCTTTGCTATGGTCCTGTGCTACGGTCCTGTGTTACGGTCCTGTTCAACGGTCCTGTGCTATGGTACTGTGCTACGGTTCTGTGCTACGGTCCTGTGCTACCGTCCTGTGGTATCGTCCTTGTGCTACTGCCCTGTGCTACCTTCCTGTGCTACTGTCCTATGCTACTGTCCTGTGCTACGGACCTGTGCTACCGTCCTGTGCTACGGTCCTGTGCTACCGTCCTGTGGTATCGTCCTGTGCTACTGCCCTGTGCTACCTTCCTGTGCTACTGTCCTATGCTACTGTCCTATGCTAATGTTCTGTGCTACGGACCTGTGCTACCGTCCTGTGCTACGGTCCTGTGCTACTGTCCTGTGCTACTGTCCTGTGCTAAGGACCTGTGCTACCGTCCTGTGCTACTGTCCTGTGCTACTGTCCTGTGCTACCGTCCTGTGCTACGGTCTTGTGCTACCGTTCTGTGCTGCTGTCCTGTGTTACTGTCCTGTGCTACGGACCTGTGCTATCGTCCTGTGCTACCATCCTGTGCTACGATCCTGTGCTACCGTCCTGTGCTACTGTCCTGTGCTACTGTCCTGTGCTACTGTCCTGTGCTACGGACTCATGCTACCGTCCTGTGCTACCGTCCTGTGCTACTGTCCTGTGCTACCGTCCTGTGCTACTCTCCTGTGTTACTGTCCTGTGCTACCGTCTTGTGCTACTGTCCTGTGCTACGGTCCTGTGCTATGGTCCTGTGCTACTGTCCTGTGCTACGGTTTTGTGCTATGGTCCTGTGCTACTGTCCTGTGCTACTATCCTGTGCTACTGTCCTGTCCTACAGTCCTGTGCTACTGTCCTGTGCTACTGTCCTGTGCTATAGTCCTGTGCTACCGTCCTGTGCTACTGTTTTGTGCTACTCTTTTGTGCTACCGTCCTGTGCTACTCCCCTGTGCTACCGTCCTGTGCTACCGTCTTGTGCTACTCCCCTGTGCAACCGTCCTGTGCTACCGTCCTGTGCTACCGTCCTGTGCTACCGTCCTGTGCTACCGTCTTGTGCTACTCTACTGTGCTACCGTCTTGTGCAACTCTCCTGTGCTACCGTCCTGTGCTACCGTCCTGTGCTACCGTCTTGTGCTACTCTCCTGTGCTACCGTCCTGTGCTACCGTCCTGTGCTACCGTCCTGAGCTACCGTCCTGTGCTACCGTCCTTTGCTACCGTCTTGTGCTACTGTCCTGTGCTACTGTCCTGTGCTACGGTCCTGTGCCTCGGTCCTGTGCTACCGTCCTGTGCTACCGTTCTGTGCTACCGTCCTGTGCTACCGTCCTGTGCTACCGTCCTGTGCTACCGTTTTGTGCTACTCTCCTGTGCTACTGTCCTGTGCTACCGTCCTGTGCTACCGTCCTGTGCTACTCTCCTGTGCTACCGTCCTGTGCTACCGTCCTGTGCTACCGTCTTGTGCTACTCTCCTGTGCTACTGTCCTGTGCTACCGTCCTGTGCTACCGCCCTGTGCTACTCTCCTGTGCTACCGTCTTGTGCTACCGTCCTGTGCTACCGTCCTGTGCTACCGTCCTGTGCTACCGTCCGTGCTACCGTCCGTGCTCCCGTCCTGTGCTACCGTCCTGTGCTTCCGTCCTGTGCTACCGTCCTGTGCTCCCGTCCTGTGCTACCGTCCTGTACTACCGTCCTGTGCTTCCGTCCTGTGCTACCGTCCTGTTGCTACCGTCCTGTGCTACCGTCCTGTGCTTCCGTCCTGTGCTTCCGTCCTGTGCTACCGTCCTGTACTACCGTTCTGTGCTACCGTCCTGTACTACCGTCCTGTGCTACCGTCCTGTGCTACCGTCCTGTGCTTCCGTCCTGTGCTTCCGTCCTGTGCTCCCGTCCTGTGCTACCGTCCTGTGCTACCGTCCTGTGCTCCCGTCCTGTGCTACCGTCCTGTGCTACCGTCCTGTGCTACCGTCCTGTGCTACCGTCCTGTGCTACCGTCCTGTGCTACCGTCCTGTGCTCCCGTCCTGTGCTACCGTCCAGTGCTACCGTCCTGTGCTACCGTCCTGTGCTACCGTCCTGTGCTACCGTCCTGTGCTACCGTCCTGTGCTACGTCCTGTGCTACCGTCCTGTGCTACCGTCCTGTGCTTCCGTCCTGTGCTTCCGTCCTGTACTACCGTTCTGTGCTACCGTCCTGTGCTACCGTCCTGTGCTACCGTCCTGTGCTACCGTCTTGTGCTACCGTCCTGTGCTACCGTCCTGTGCTTCCGTCCTGTGCTTCCGTCCTGTGCTCCCGTCCTGTGCTACCGTCCTGTGCTACCGTCCTGTGCTCCCGTCCTGTGCTACCGTCCTGTGCTACCGTCCTGTGCTACCGTCCTGTGCTACCGTCCTGTGCTACCGTCCTGTGCTACCGTCCTGTGCTCCCGTCCTGTGCTACCGTCCTGTGCTACCGTCCTGTGCTACCGTCCTGTGCTACCGTCCTGTGCTACCGTCCTGTGCTACCGTCCTGTGCTACCGTCCTGTGCTACCGTCCTGTGCTTCCGTCCTGTGCTTCCGTCCTGTGCTACCGTCCTGTGCTACCGTCCTGTGCTCCCGTCCTGTGCTACCGTCCAGTGCTACCGTCCTGTGCTACCGTCCTGTGCTACCGTCCTGTGCTACCGTCCTGTGCTAACCGTCCTGTGCTACCGTCCTGTGCTACCGTCCTGTGCTACCGTCCTGTACTACCGTCCTGTGCTACCGTCCTGTGCTACCGTCCTGTGCTACCGTCCTGTGCTACCGTCCTGTGCTACCGTCCTGTGCTACCGTCCTGTGCTACCGTCCTGTGCTACCGTCCTGTGCTACCGTCCTGTACTACCGTCCTGTGCTACCGTCCTGTGCTACCGTCCTGTGCTACCGTCCTGTGCTACCGTCCTGTGCTACCGTCCTGTGCTACCGTCCTGTACTACCGTCCTGTGCTACCGTCCTGTGCTACCGTTAAGTAAGTAAGTAAGTAAGTAAGTTTATTCAGGTATACACAAATACAGCAGACAGTTGGCGTGTGAGTGTGAACTCGGGGAGAGAACACTGAAGGAATCAGGAGCAGGGAAAGAGCACAGCATCCCGCATGGCTTCCAGCCCTAGTATATATTCCATTACAGGCTGTTACAGTCTCAGTAGCACCTGAATCAGTTGCTACTACTGAAGAGCACATGGCGCTCCATCCAAAAAAAAACCGCAGTTCACAACCTTCAGTAAATCTGAGTGTGTCTGCACCACTACTGGGTAGTCATCACATGTGGATTATCCGGGGAAAAAGGGAAATGGAACTTTTCAATACGACCTTCGCAGGAAATACCGTATTCTCCTCAATAAAGACAAGTCTTTCCAGGAAGTGCAGACTGTTTCACCCACAATATGTTATAGTTCAATAAACGAAAGGCAGTGCTACGGTGTCAAGTCTCCCAGAGTGCCACTGGAAGAGAACGAGGCGAATAGAGCTAATGAAAAGTCAGACTGAAAATGAAAAAATGTAACCAGACAGACAAAGGAGATTTTTTTATTATGACTGGACACAAAGAAGAATGACAAGAAATTGTAAAGGTGTATCACCGCCCAGGAGCCAAGATGGACCGAAACACGACCAATGGTTTGTCCATCACAGCTTCGGATATTAAGGGACACATTAGTTCTCCTGTGTTCTAATACTATGTTATTTTTTCCCTGTAATCTACCTTGTATATAATTACTATCGCATTTGCTTTGTCTGTTTTCGTAAAGAGAAGTGTAGCATCTTTCCTTAATTCATGGTATAACTCAACAAATCTTTGAGGACAATTGTGTTGCGAGAGTAATTATGGACAACGTAGATTATAGGGGAAAAATAACATGATATTAAAAGGCAGGGAAACTCACGCGCCTTTTAAGTCCTGACAAACACTACATAACACCTTGGAAAAATAGACAGGAACGCAGTATAATGTGATCCTTTACTGATTACGTTTCACCCACACCGTCGGCTTTATCAGGTCACAATAAATAATTGTATTATCCTACATTTGTGTCTATTTTTCCATCGTGTCGGTATTTTATGCCATTTATCTCCACTATAACATCATTTGTGTTTACAAACCAACGGGGTCTTAAAGTGAGTAGCAACAGTGAATCACTGTCCAGCAGAGGTCTCCTCACTGAGTCAACGGTAATGGTTGCAACATTTACTGAGACCCACGCAAAACACTTCAACAACATTGCAATACGAATAAAGATGCTTCAAACCGTTCTAAATCGTCGAAAAATGCAATAAAAAACTTTCAAGCCCATTTTTCATATTTTACGTAGCTTTACAAAATAATATGTAGCAACCAGAGAGAGAGGCAGCCACGAGACAAGTGATTTGCATATTGAAGAGTCTCTCACCAACACTGAGTCACTTAACACCACTAATAAAGTACACGAAGTTATGATGGCTAAATCTGGAAATTAGAAACC